AATTTGACTGTATGATCTGGTTGAACTGTAAAGTGCCTTGAGATGACATGTGTTGTGAATTTGGCGCTATATAAATAAACTGAATTGAATTGAATTGAATTATATACACACACTATAAGAGGCAAAGACAAGACGACCCTTGTTGGGGTAGAAGTCTTAAGTAAACTTCAAAATGATAAGGTCTTTCTATGAAAATATTAGGTGTCATCTACACAGCCATTTACCCTACATTTACAGTAGCAGTGATATGAAATATGGGAAAGTGTGCCAAAACATTTAATATAAAACGTAGGAATACAGTGAGAGATTAGTAAAATATTTGGAATATGCAGTGAATGTGGTAAATACACCTACTCCAAGATTACCTCTTAATAAAGATTTATACATAAGAAAAAAACATAAAATGATCATACCATTGCAAGCCATCAATGCTACTCAATGACTTTATTTTACACATAGCTTTTTGTGCATTATTTGATTGGGTGCATTATTTAATTGGGTTTTCCTCACACATTTTTAAAGTAGGGTGCAAATATATATATATATTTTTTTTTAAATATAAATGGTGGAATTAAATTGCCAAAATGTATTCCTGATTTTGTCACTAATGAAGGTTTCCACATTATTATGTTCTGGTTTTGAATTTGCATATTAATTCTTCTGTCATTACACTGATGTTAGATGATTTGGCAAAAACATATTCTGAATTATGGAGACAGAGTATCAGCTGTCATCTTCTGTTGCATGAATCATCGCAGACATTCAGCAGAATCCAAAAGAAGTTAGCTACTTGAAAAAATAAGAGAAAAGAGCTGTGCTCCAGGTAGTAAGTCAGGTAAGAGAATGTACACTTTAGAGAAACTGAAAGGAAATAAAAATGCAAAGAAATCTGCAAAGAGGGTAGAACAGATCCAAGGTCGTTAGCAGGAAGAATCCAAAAGAAGTCCGAAAACAGGGCAGGCAAACTCAGAATTCTGGGAGCAAAAACTATTCAGGATCAGGCAAGGAACACACTGCATATACTGGAGAACTCTCACCCATGGCTCGAATAATCTGGCACATGGCTGGGAACAAGAAGTTTATATAGGAACTGGAACAGGTGGATCTGATGAGCGATGATGAAAACTGGTTGGAGCTAGAAAGGTGGATGAAATTAACCATAATCCAGTCATCGGTGCTGAGATCATGACAAAATGTAGCCAGTGAAAATAAAATTGAGGATAATATTGGAGAGTATGGAGAAATACAATAAAACAAAGCACTTCTTGAAGTCACATCAAAGAGTAAAAGAACTGATCAAGCGGAAGGCAGAGTCTGTAATGTAGCACAAAGTTTGCCTGAAGTAAATGATGCAGAAAGGCAGCGTGTCACCTATAGTAATGGTGAAGTAACTGTTGGTATGCCATTTAGTATTTCATCTAATTTAGATGACACTTGACCATGGGAGCCCTCAAAGCCAAAGGTCATTATTGTGGTGCAATGTGGTAACTGCTTTTCTGACCTTCTAGCTGCTTTTCTTGACCCATACATTAGATTAACGAAGAAGTCCACATTAAAAGGAAACTTCCTAATGGAGAGCTGGAAGAGGGTGAAGGCTCAGGGTTAGTACGTGACTTGCCTGTCAGACCCACCACTATGGCATTACTCTTTTTATCATCCATCACCTGAGAAAAAAAACAAAACACAGATTTCTTTTTCCATGGGTTTTGATGTTAAAACAGCTATTTACAGATAACAACATGTTTTGTGGTTGTTTAACATCTAGGGTGAGATCCAATCTGACCACAAATACCTGTTTCAGTTCCACCCACATACACGAGCATATAAAACCAGTGGTGGGCATAATTCTTTCACTTTCATTCATGCGACGGGTTGGGGACGCATTACAACACGGTAAGTAGTTAAAATATTTGGATTTTATTTGTTTAACTAGTTCTCAGTGCAATGGTTGGGATCCGGAGTGTTTTATTGTAAACTGAATAAACTGCTCTGAAAAAAAAAATTTAACTATTATACAACTGCCCGGATTTAAAATGATTTCAGGTTGGACACAGATATTTAAAGGGGATTTAAGTTAAAGCGGAAGTAAAAAATTGACTTAGATTACATAACTTCATACATAACTCCGATTTGAGCAGAACCAGAAACAGTCAGGTGAATTTTTAGGCTAAATATGTTATAAGGCTTAACAGAAAGTCATAATTTTCCAGTGGTTATATCATCTCTTTTTTTTTTTTTATCTCAATTATAATTTCGTCATTCATGTGGAAAGCTGGCTGAACGAAATTGAAGCCAAAGGCCTTTTCTTTCCAGTGACCACACCCTGATGTTTTCTTTTTTTGTCTGATTTCCTGTAAACCAAATCCTGTTTAGCAGGTTTATCTAAGCCTATTTGATGATGATTTTTTTTTTTTATGGCTATTAACATGGAATAATCTTACGTCTTCCTTTCAGTCAGGTTTTCTGATATTTATGCTGTTCCTTGACATGTTTTTTTTTTTTTTTTATGTTCCAATGTCTATAATCTTATTCCTAGATTTGATATAAATGCAGTTGGGTTGTAGGCTTCTTTTGATTTCCATCATATGTCTGTCAATTTATTAAATTGCTTCTAAACCTTTGGTTATTTTAATTCTATGTTCTTAAACAGACCTGGCTCTTTGTGAATTCATCTGGTGTGCCTAGTGACATCATGGCAGCTGCAGAATCAGGTATGTTACATCACAGGGCCCCAGGGCAAGGGCTGGTTGCCCACCTTCATAACAGTGCCCCTGGAATACTTATGCATATTTAACATATGTATTTGTGTTTAACATAAAATTTGCCATTAAAGTAATAGGAAAAATAAATTATAACGTAGTAAACCATTAACATCTGCTCCCCGTTTTCCATATACCGAGACATTCTGATCCTTTTCATGTAAAAAAAATTTCGAAAATCCACTGCCGCTTGAGAAACAGAAAGGCATATCAGAAAAGAAAAAAAAAGATGGAGAAAAGTGGAAAAAAAAAACTGCATTTATATGTCACAAAACTTGCTGAGACCCAGGTTGTTTTTGGAAGAGCCCCAAAATTCACAAAAGAAAACTTATAGATGTCATTCAAAAATATGCATTGACCCCAGAAATTAAATTAGTTACATCCAAATATCTGTCAGTGCAGCAGGATGTGAGGTGGAGGTTTACTCAAACAAGTATCACATAGCAGCACATAGCTGATATACTAGTGATTGTAGAGATAGCCCTTAGCTTTGAAAGTGACTGCAGCAAGTATATAGGGTTGAACTGAGATTGTAGTGAACAATAGGTGGCAGCAGCACACTGAAGAATCCCTTTAATCTCCAGCATTTATTCAGTAATATCCCTGATATTTTCAGAGGTAGTGAGAACTGATATTACTCAAAGAGTACTCCTTAGACAAATAACAACAGTAACTTTAGTTCATCTCCTCATAGCTCTAAATAAGACATATTAAATTCTGTTTATTTATATAGCAGCAATTCACACCACATCATGTCAAGACACGTTACAGAAACAATTCAACAACAATCCCTCACATCAAGAATGCTTGTAGCAAAAGTAGAGAGCAAAACTCCCTTTGTACAGGAAGAAACCTGCAGCTAATCCAGAATCTGCTGAGGTTTACCGGGTTTCAGGGAGAAAAAAGGAGTCGTCTCGTCTTTGGCAGGTTCAAAACTCTGCTGAGAGTTCACTGACTTGTACAAACAGAAGGGCTCATATTACGCCGATTCTAAAAGCTCTTTATTCACTCCCAGTCTCTTTTTGGATCCAGTTTAAAATCTCGGTGCTGACCTTCAGGGCCGTTACCAGTCAGGCTCACTCCTAGAGACTTGTTGTGTCCTTAAACGCCCTCTCGGACGCTGAGGTCTCAGGACCTGAACCTGCTCATGGTCCCTTGTACTCATTACAGGACCAGGGGAGATCACTCCTTTCAGGCCCTTGCGCCGGTGCTCTGCAACGATTTTACGTTTTCCTTGAGCTTACTATGATTTTTTACTGTAAATTTATTTTCATTTGTATTGTAATTTTGTGAAGCACTTTGTGACTTCTATGTCTGTGAAAGGTGCTATATAAATAAACACTACTTACCTACATTACTTACTTAGGATAACCTGAGCCACTCCAAGCCTTATCAAAATTGTTTTAAGCCTTAAAGTAGACAGGGTTTAGACAGAGTGGACTAAAACTGATAGTTGGTTCCACAGGAGAGGAGCCTGATAACTAAAAGATCTGCCTCCGTTTCTACTTTTAGAAATTCTAGGAACCACTAGTAAACTTGCAGAATGAAAGGATCAAAATGTATTTCTTACCTTGTAGTCTGCAGAGCCCCTGCTTGCAGATAATCTCCCTGCACAGTGCCCAAGCGCAGCAGGAAGTCCTTTGCACTGTCATGTGGAATTTTTGTGCTTTGAGAGTAAACTGAAGTGTATGTCTTGCAATGGGAATAATTGGCCAGAGGTGAAGAACGTAAAAATTCATCCGCAAAAGGAATACATAATAATAATACGATTACATTTAAAAATAAGCACTTGATATGACAAGATATTTAGGCTCACTGCAGAAAAAATACACAGGTAAAGACAAAAAATGAGGGTCCAAAAAATGTGCAGGATGAAGCTTTACGAGGTAAAACCTTTTTCTTTACAAACATATAAATAATTCACTAATCATCCACATGTTTAGTATTAAAAAAACTGCATTATTTTAAGATGATTTTTCAAAAATGTTGACAGAATTAATGAATTAATTAATAGTTTTTCGTTAAGAGAAAGAACGGTTAGAAGGATGGCAGTAAAGCAAAGCATTTTCAACAGAAGGAACATATTCATATGATAAAAGATGAAAGCTCTGATCATAGATGAAATAAATTAATGTTTTCAGGATATAACTGACTAAGATTCCACAAAGTCCTCTTTATATCAGTTTCAGACATTAAAAAAGTAAAGTCATATCAGACGTTAAAAAGGTAAAATAAAACTGTTGTAAACATATTTTTAAACCGCAATTTACAACAAATGGCATCATGCTGAAACCAATGTAGAACTTAAAAATAAAAATTTCTATTAACATATTACAGCTTAATTCAGGAGTTAGAGGATATTTTACTTTTTTCATCCCCTCCTTGAGGAAGCTGAGAGCCACACCTCGTACATAGTGCAGCAGCATTGCTGATTCCAAAGGATCACCCATTTTCAATTAAGCATAAATAGCCTCATGCTCATTGATCGACAGTTCCCAAGAAGGCGTTTTTGTATTCAATGCTGTCAAAAGTGTGCCTAGTGCCTAGCTGCAAATACATGTTGCAGTAGTGGAGCTGTCTTAAATAATGCCTGCTGAACACCGCCTTTGGTATTTGCTCTGACCATGTCCCCCATTACTGAGCAGGAAAATATTTTGATATGAACAGACTGCTTTTTAATTTACTTTATTTTTTCTGTCTTTTTTTTTCAGTGTCAGACCTGAGGATTGTTCTGCTGGGGGGCTCATGGACTCAGAGGAATTTTGTGGGGAACGTTATACTTGGAAAAAATGTTTTTAGTCAAATACCTGAAACCTGTTTTAGAGTCAGTGAGCCAGTGGGAGAACAAAAAGTAACGGTCATCAACACTCCAGATCTGCAGTTCTCCACACAGGAAAACCTTACAGGGTTTGTCAAAGATTTTGCAAAGGCCTCTGATCCTGGACCCCATGTGTTTGTGTTGGTTGTGCAGCCTGAAGATCTAAATGAGGGAGATAAAGACAGGATCTTTAAAGTCCTTGATCACTTTAATGATCGATCATTCAGTTATTCATTATTACTTATCATGACAAGACAACAAGATAATCCACCTTTGAAAGAAACATACACAAACAATCCATTATTGGAAGACTTGATCAAAAAGTGTAAATATAGACCTCTAAAGGAAGAAGACATGGATCATGCACAGCTTCTGAGTCGCTTTTCTCAAATTGTGAATGAGAATGGTGACCAATATGTGAGTTATAAATCGTTTGAGGAAACACCATCTAACCAAAGGGAAAATGATCAGAACCAGACACAAAAAACAACCAGTGGTTTGTTCTCTACAGTCACAGATGGTAAGTCCTATAGGAGCAATTAAAAATATAAAGAATGTAGGGAGAGACTAAGTTCATATCATATCTTCATAGGTTTATACGCCATTAGTCGGATCCCTGCTCAGGTTTCATCCTTTTTCACCACTCCTTCATCAAACAGTAAGTGGATTTATCACATATATTTTCTTTAAGTGTAACTCTCTAATACTCTCTCTAAACAGGTATAGTGCTAGGCATGTTTAAATGAGAGGCCAGGCAGAAATGTGAAAGTGGTTTTATCATTTGTTCACATATTACTCCAGCATATTTATTGTTATTGATTATATATTTTATCTTCATGATCTTCATTGCTAGACTGGACATGCTACTATTAATTAGGGCTTCTCTGGTAGATGGGCTAAAAAAATAGCTTTGTGGGTTTTTATTATTATATAGCTATCCACTATTTTAATAGCTTGTAGCATTGGCTGGGTTACGTGTCTCACAGATACACACTTATACTAAATTGCAGCTACAGATATATACCAACCTGAATAACATTTTGTAATCACCATAGGTTTGTCTTTCCACACACATGGATATTTAAAGATATAGTGGAGGATGGATTTTCATTAATTTTTAAAAAGACCTGTCCTCTCCACTTTAAAATAAAATGCATATGCACAACCCTGTATTATTTAATCTGACATGTATACTGTAGCTGAAGAAAAGTGTATGGGCTTTCTGTATGGAAGTGAATCTCTAAGTATCTGGAGCCAAGCACCTGTAGTTGTTGTTAGAGTGGACTTGTGCATGTAAAGTTTTTCCAAAGGAAAAATGCTCAATAGTGGTTGTGAAGAGCCGAAGACGCGCCGCCCTAGAGCACCGAGTCCAGCGCCGGGGAACCCAAAGCATCAGACGCCCAAAGGGATCTCAAGAGCAGCGGCACCCAGGAGGGGTCAACCCAGGAGAAGAGACAGCCCAGAGGAAAACCCCAGTCACTACAATACCGGAGCCCCCAGGAGCCTTGGGGACTAGTCTGCAAGCTGCGCCTGCAGCCAGCCACCCTGAAGTGGATCCGGCCATGGGCCCCAGGGACCCGAGGCCCCAGGGGCTTCCTGCACCTCGCCCCTGACCGGGCCCCAGGGGACCAGGCCCCGCAGAGCAGCCACCAGATATAAGCCAGTACCCACTCGGGCATCCAACTCCAAACACCGAGCACCACCAGTGCACCAGTGAGCCCAAGCACCAGCCAGCGAAGGGGGGCAGGACGAGGGGAATGGGCTCTGCACTTAGCGGAGACTTAAGATGTTCTTGGGAGAGGGAGAAGTTCGGACCTGAACCTAACAAGCAAAAAAAATGAAAAAAAATATACAGTCTCAATCACGAGTTCCCACAAAAAGTTCACACCAAACCACAATTTTATTTCCTAGTTATTTACGAATTTCTAGCTTTAAAAAAATTCTTTTAATTTTTATCATTGATTTTTTTATCAAAATTAACATTTTTCTTCCATTAGCTTGTAGGTCATGTGAGTGACTGACAAAAAACAAACCTAATTATAATGCAAAGATTCAGCAGGGTTATGTTTATCAACTTTATATGCATTTACCATTCATATATTGAAAAAAATCATAGTTTATTTACATTTCCATGATAAGAATTTTAATTTATTGTCAGGCACTAAGTTAACCATCATGTGTCAACACAGAGCAGATGCCCAGGTTGGCACTGCTGGCTTTACTGTTCTGCTGGTGAAATCACATCCCGAGTTGCACTGGTGAAAGTTTGATTTGATTTAACCTGTCAAACACGTTGAAATGCTTCCTTAATCCTTATTTAAAAGCTGCTGTTCAGGGTAAACTGAGTTGAGATAAATCAAACAAGTCAATCCAAAAGAATTTCAGCCTGTAAGAAAGCTTAAGCCAGGCATACACTATGCTATGAAACTGCAGAGTTTATTTGTACAGTATGAGTTCACAGCAAACGTGGCTACTACAGTCTGTCAATTTTACAGAAAGAATTAAATTTTTCTCTTACCCACACCATGCTTCTGTGTTTTTATGTGAGAGGAAGAAGAAGAAGACTCCTTGTTTGCGCATGCCCACTGAGCGATTTGCCCATACCGGCCGACTGGATTTCAAACATGTTTGATTTTCTCCCGACCTTACAATTCCTGATCGGGAGCTGGTCGTGAGAGGCTGATCGCCCCTTGTTACCCCCTGAACACTACATGATGAAGGGCGCACAATCAGGCTGAAAGTCGAAAAGTTCTCGCACGACTAGAAAGTTTTCCCGAAAAGGGCAAAAACTCATAGTGTATGCCTGGCTTTACTTATGTTAAAAAATATCTTAATATCTTCTATCTACTGTAGACAGTTAAATGCCATGGTATTTCTTCTAGGATATGTAGCATTTTACTCTTTTTTGAGCATTACAATAAGAATACTTTCTAAATGCAGAAACTTAATTTTGTTTGCTTTGCAGTTTCTTTGAAAATTTTTCTGATAGGAAGAAGTGGGGATAAAAAGACAAAGCTCACTCAGCTCATCACTGGGATGGAAAAAGGTTACCAACCAAAGGGATTACGCTCCACCATCTTCACAGGAAAATGGAAAGCAGGAAAAGTAACAGTAGTGAAAATTCCTGACATGTTCAGTCTGGCCACAGAGGCTGTCATAGAAGAAATTCAACGTTTTCAAAGTGTCCTTCCTCCTGGACCAAATGTTCTGCTTCTGTTAGTAAAACCCTCAGAATTCAACGAGAAGGACAGACAAACATTGAAGTTCCTCCTGAGTTTGTTTGGTCAAGATGCCTTAAAATATTCAATAATTGTCATGACACATTTGACCGAAATTAGTGTTTCTCTCAATGACCTCCTTAAAGACTGTGAGGGACGGCACTACAACATGACTGAAGGGGCTTTGGGACCACTGATGGAAAACATTGAGGATCTCATGAAAAAGAACCCAGGAAAATTCCTCAAGCTGCCTGGAGGAATGATGGGATCACAACAAATGACAGAATTAACAGAAAAGGTAAAATACAACAAACCTTCACTAAACCTGGTTCTTTGTGGGGGGAGAAGAGAAGAGAAGATCTCAGTAGCCAAAGCCATTCTAGGTCAGACAGATCTTCCTTCAGCCTCCAACTCATCAGAGTGTGTTAGAAACCAGGGAGAGGTTTGTGGACGTTGGGTTTCTGTGGTGGAGCTGCCTGCCTTGAATGGAAAAGCTCAGCAGGAAGTGATTGAGGAATCATTCAGGTGTATCTCCCTCTGTGATCCTGAGGGTGTCCACGCCTTCATTCTGGTCCTACCTGTGGCTCCCCTCACTGATGAAGACAAGGGAGAGTTACAGACCATCCAGGACACATTCAGCTCTAGAGTCAATGACTTCACCATCATCCTGTTCACTGTGGACTCAGATCCTACAGCTCCAGCTGTGGTTAACTTTATAAATAAGAGCAAGGACATCCTGGAGCTCCTTCAGAGCTGTGGAGGAAGATATTTTGTTTTTAATGTCAAGGATCGAAAGCAGATCCCAGAACTGATGAAAATGATGGATAGAGCAATCACTGACAAAAAGAGTCCATATTTTTACACATCAGAGACATTTGTGAGCAGCCAAATAGAGAAGAACATCAAACATGTTGAACACATCACCAGACTAGAGGCTGAAATTAGGAAACTCAAAAAGATAGAGTTGGATCAGGGTAAGTTCTTGTTGGAAAACATATTTCAAACTTCAGGTGCAACTCCATTGTAAATCAACGTTTTATTCTTTTTTTACAGGTGAGGAAATAGATCAGAGCCCCAGGTGTCTTAGGATTGTTCTAATCGGTAAAACCGGTTCTGGAAAAAGCTCTTCTGCAAACACGATTCTGGGACGTAAAGACTTTAAAGCTAAGGCAGACTGCAAATCAGTCACAAAACTTTGTCAGAAAGAGCAGTGTGTGGTGGACGGCCGTCATATTGCTGTGGTCGATACTCCTGGTCTGTTTGATGACAGTTTGTCCCATGAAGATGTTTATGATGAGATGTTGAAATGTATGAGTCTTTTGGCTCCAGGGCCACATGTCTTCCTGCTGGTTTTACAGATCGGTAGAATTACACCAGAGGAGAAGGAGGCATTGAGGTTAATAAAGGAAGGATTCGGGAAAGGTGCAGAAAAATTCACCATCATTCTTTTCACAAATGGAGATAAACTAGAAAATGATGAGGAAACTATTGAAGAATACATTGGAAGAGATGATTACTTGAAGAAGCTGATCTCTGACTGTGGAGGAAGATGCCACGTATTTAACAACTATAAAGAGAGTCAAACACAAGTCAGTGAGCTGATCAGGAAGATTGACACGATGGTGAAAGAAAATAACAACAGATTCTACACCAATGAGATGCTGCAGGAGGCTGAAGCTGCCATTCTGAAAAAAACAGAGAAAATCCTGAAGGAGAAGGAAGAAGAGATGAAGAGAGAGA